GCATCTCTGAGCTTGTACAGCCTGGGTGTGGAGTAGACTAACTGTTGCATTTGGAGTCCTAAGTCTGAGTAAAGAACCAATGCTTGACCCCTCCTTCCTGCTCTCTCAACTGAGGACAGAGTTTCAGTCTCCATCATCATCCACCCAGAAGGGATTCAGACTTCCATAAGGAGCCCTCTGTTCATAGTCCCATGCAGGTGAGTCTGAGACCTCAAAAGATACTGATAAAAATGTTCAGATAAAATGAAATTCAAAAAATTTACATGAGGAACAACTCATCCTAACTCAGAGTCCAGAGACCACTATGGCTGTTTGCTTGGTTGATTAAACTATCAATATATTTTATGATGCTAGAAAGAAAAGTGGACATTGAATTCAATAACAATATTCAGTGGTGTCAAATAAATGATAGGAATGGAAGCCCAAAGAGAAGAGGGATGAGAAGCCTAAAGTACATCCAGTAAAGGTAGAACTTATGCCCAATATTTTATTAACTAATTGGGGTGAAAGATATTGTGCATGTGTGCTTTCTAAGTTGGTTCAGTTTTGTCCAACTCTTTGCAATCCTATAGATTGCAGACCATGAGGTTCCTCAGTCCATGGGATTTTCCAGGCAAGAATACTGGAGTGGGTTGCCATTTCCTCCTCCAGGGGATCTTCCTGACCCAGGGTTTGAATCTGCGTCTCTCACATCTCCTGCATTGGCAGGGAGGTTCTTTACTACTAGTGCCACCTGGGAAGTCCTAAAGATATCAGGTATTAGCTTTGGAGTGATGTAGAATGAATTGACAGCATTCTTTTATGACTTTTATGATGGAATTTTTTTCTCACCAACTGGCTATTTGCCATTTAGTTCTCTTATTATGTGCAGATGTAGTTGAGAGGAATTGTGAGTCTATATAAATTTTGTGTGGTCAAATCTAGCAATCAATTATGTTTTCTCCATTTCTAGTATATCAATACTACAAAACCATAAAAAAGTGAAATTCAGATTCTGGCTCTAACTATGGATGACTTCATCCCCCAGGGTACATCTAACAATGTCCAGAATCTTTTATGACTGTGACATATTGAGGCCTCGATGAATGTCAAGGATGCTGTAAGCATCCCACAATGCACAGGACAGACCCTCACCTCAAATAATGATCTGGTCCAGAATGTCAATTGTGCCAACTCTGGGGAACCCTAAATTTAAAGAACACCTGTATTTTGAATATTTATTGCTATCTTCAATCTTTTCCTTAAAATGTTGTAACACTTTGCATTTTCTGCCAGACAACTCAGAGATGGTTCCTAGTTCAGAAGCACTCAGCCCCAAACTGACAAATATATTTTCCATAGGAGAATGATATGAAACAGATTCTGTGTTGCTTTCTCAAGTCATATACTGAATTAGAACTAAACTTTGTGTATGTGGTCACAATTTTGATTTCCCTGTTACATACCCATATATTACATGTCACTTTTTCTATAGTAAATAGACTTTCAAATACTTTTTTTAAACAAATGATTGCTTTTCAATTGACTTTTGGGGCATATTCTTGACCAAAAATTTTAAGAATATTTTAGTTAGATTGGTGAGTGAATGGAAGGGAGATTACATACCCAAACATTCTATGAACATAATATATTATTTTTACCTCTAGGTCACTGCCAATGTCATTAATCCATATCAATGTCATAAATCATTACTGTTGTATCTACTGTTCAATTAATTTTCAATGCTTCATTTAGTTTTGTTTACTACACTTGCTTCAGAATCATCCTATTTAACCTGGTTTCATTCTCTTTGTTATTTTTACTTCCTAGCTTTTCATTTTTCTAAGTTACTTTTGGGACAAGTGCCCATCTATTCACACACTTCATTAAAATGCAACGGTGAGCAAAACAGGTAAATTTCCTTCCTGTTTTGAATCTTTCATGATGATTAGGAAGACAGAGTACAATGAAAGAAACGTGTGTGTAATTCAATGTCCTCAGATGACTAATACGAAGGATGTTACTCAGTGATAAGAGTAGAATTGTTACACTGTGGGTAGGCTTTATGTGGATGGACATAAAGATCATTGGTTGTTGGATGAGGAGCAGAACTAGGACTAGAGTGTGCCCATAGGAGTTATGGGAAGAGCGATCCAAACCCAAGCGTAGCAAAGTGATGGTGACACATACGAAAAGGGAGAGTCTTGCCTTGTCTGCTGTCGGACCTATGAAACAAATTAGTCAAATAGGTATTAAGCAGTCCAAGAAAAGTATGTATTGCTGCCTGCATTAAAGAAGGTCAATATCCAGTCCATGTTTCATTATGCTTTCTGTTCATCCGTTTGTGAGATGTTGGCTCAGTCCTTTTGCTCACTTTCTATTGGGCTATCCAATTGGAAAATGCTTCAAATCATAAAGACATGATTTTTTATCATTTGAATAAATACAGTTTTGATTTTTTAATTATTTTTCTTGAACATCCAGGGGGAAAAAAAAAGAGAAAACAGCACATGAAATGTCAGCAGAACCAAAGAAACGTCTTTACGACAGTCTCTCAGGAGACATTTGAGTTTGTTAGGTCTTTATTCCCTCTTGTGTCCATTTCTCTGTCTCTCTTTTTACCCCATCCTCAATCCCTCTCTGTATCCTGATGTATACATATACCTTAAAATTCAAGGTTTGAGACAAGATAAACATATATACACACATACATATACACACTTATTGAACACGTTTTTTATTTTATATTGGAGCATAGTCAAGTAACAATGTTGTGATAGTTCCAGGTGAACAACAAAGGGACTCAGTAATACTTATACATGCATCCATTCTGCCCCAAACTCCTGTTCCATCCAGACTGAGACATAACGTTGATCAGAGTTCCCTGTGTTATACAGCAGGGCCTTGTTGGTTATCCACTTTAAACATAGTATTGTGTTGATGTCCATCCCAAACTCTCTAACTGTCCCTTCCTCTCATCTTTCTCCCTGGCAACCCATAGGTTCACATTCAAGTATTTTTTAATGATCTTTAATACAAGTGTAAAATGGCCATACCAAAATTGAATCCCAAGCATATTGGTACCAAGAATACTTACAAACTGGAATTTTTGGATACCACTTTACATAACCCGATCTTATCAGTGAGAGTTGTATCAAACTCTAACTTAATCAAGGTAGTTAGGGATGAGGGGTGAGAAACATAGAAGTAACATATTTAACATAGTTTAGGTGGCCAGTGTCTGCAGTGTGCATGCACCTGTGTGTGTGTGCGTGTGTGTACATGTGTGTGTGTGTGTGTGTGTGCCTGTGTGTGTGCAGTGCCTGGTGGAGTAGAAATCCTCACAGTGGTGGTACTGAGTTCATATATTCCAAGGTGACTCCAAGAATCCGCCTGCAATGTGGGAGACCTGGGTCCAATCCCTGGGTTGGGAAGATCCCCTGAAGGAAGGCATGGCGACCCACTTCAGTATTCTTGACTGGGAAATCTCATGGACAGAGGAGCCTGGCGGGCTGCAGTCCATGGGGTCACAAAGAGTTGGACATGCCTGAAGCAGCTGAGCACAGCAAGGTGACTCATACACAGAGGTCAGAACTCAGTCAACAAAGGGATCCATTTAAACACATGGGGCGTCTCTGCAACAATTTCATCAAGTACTAGTTACATGAGGTGGATGAAAGTCTTATGATTTGAAGTTTCAGCACCACCAGGGAGGTCAGCTTGCTCCTCAGCATCCTCTGACACCATCTCTCCTCACTCCCTCTTGCCCTATGCCTTCCCCACATTGGTTTCCTTTTTTCTCTTAAACTTGAACACTTTAAACAAGCCCTTTCCTCGGTGCATTTGTACTGTCTAGTCTCCCTGCCAAGCATACACTTCGCCTGACATGTTCATGGCTCCTACTCTTTCATCCTTGAATCTAAAAAATAGCATGCCTTCTCTACTCTTCCTTAGAACCTTTCAAGTTTCTTCATAGCAACAGTCACCATTCAAAAGTTATACATAACTTATAAGTTTTATATGTATATATATATATATATATGTATATTTAATATATATTCACATATATATGGACTTATCTGGTAGCTCAGCAGTAAAGAACCCACCTGCAATGCAGGAGACTCAGGAGACTGGTGTTCTATCTTTGGGTGGGTAAGATCACCAGAGGAGGGCATGGAAGCCCACTGAAGTGTTCTTGCCTGGAAAACCTCCTGGACAGAAAAACCTGGCGGGCTACAGTGCATGGAGGGGGAAAGAAGCCACTGAGCACACACACATACCCACACACGTATATGACTTGCTTATGTTTCCTTTGTGGCTGGATTCTTAGAGATTTTGTGTTTTAGAATCCTATACTCATTGCCAAGACATCACCTGGAACATGATCATCACTCACTTTATAATCCCCAAATGAATGAAAGTATTTCTTATGTGAAATAGATGACATCCCGGGGAAAAAGCAGCAGGTGGGACAACCTTGCCAGTTCCAGATGACATAGAAATTCCCTAAAGGGGAGCAAATCCATAAACAAAGCAGAAGTTAGTTCAGCAAATGTATTTAAATACAATTAGGCAAAATATAAATAATGGTTTTCCAATGATGTGAGCAATGTATTTTTTGTGAAAATCAGACATGATATTTTCCCCTTTTCTTTAGGTCACCTCCACCACATGGTACTAGGGAACTTAACACATGTTTCAGGTTTTCTTCTGGGATTTTTGGAGGCACCTGAACTGCAGCCACTCATATTTGGGGGCTTCCTCTCCACGTACCTAATCACTGTGTTTGGAAACCTCTTCATCATCCTGGCCGTCAGCTCAGACACCCAACTCCACACCCCCATGTACTTCTTTCTCTCCAACCTGTCCTTTGTAGACATCTGCTTCACCTCCACAACCATCCCAAAGATGCTGTGTGGAACATCCAGACCCAGAACAAAGTTATAAGCTATGAAGGCTGCATCACCCAGATGTACTTTTTCACACTGTTTGTAGGGTTGGATGACTTCCTCCTAACTGTGATGGCCTATGACCGCTTTGTGGCGATCTGTCACCCCCTGCACTACACGGTCATCATGAGTGCCCGGCTCTGTGGACTGCTGGTGCTGGTGTCCTGGGTCATCAATGTCCTACACTCCTTCTTGCAAACTTTAATAGTGTTGAGATTGTCCTTCAGCAGAGAGGTGATAATCCCTCACTATTTCTGTGAACTCAAACAGTTGGTCCAACTTGCCTGTTCTGACACCTTTCCTAATGACATGGTGATGTATTTTGCAACTGTGCTGCTGGGAGATGCTCCCTTAGCTGGTATACTTTACTCTTACTCTAGGATAGTTTCCTCCATATGTGAAATCTCATCAGCTCAGGGGAAGTATAAGGCATTTTCCACCTGTGCATCTCACCTCTCAGTTGTTTCCTTATTTTATTGTACGTGCTTAAGAGTGTACCTTAGCTCTGCTGCTACCCAAAGCTCACACTTAAGTGCAAAAGCCTCAGTGATGTACACTGTGGTCACACCCATGCTGAACCCCTTCATCTACAGTCTGAGGAACAAGGACATAAAGAGGGCTCTGAAAACATTCTTTAGGAGGACAATGATTAAAACACCAGTTGTTCTAAGCTGAAGAAGGGAGCATGGCTGAAAAATTTAAAACCTCACAGGCAGAAATTGTAATTTTTTGAGATCAGCTTGTGGAAGCAGTGTGAAATATGAAAGGTAAAATTCAAATGACTCCATTTTAAGATAATACCACCATTTTGAGCTGAACTTCCCCAAAGAAGGAGAAAAGACAAAGAAATTCAAACGAGCCAATCAGGAGAGGACAGGAAGTCCCTCACCCCCTTACTCTAACCCACCAATCAGTAGCTAACAAGACATCCTTAGTTAAAGAATTAACCAATCCCCTTAAGCTTCCCGCTTTCCCCACTATACGGTATAAAAATAGATCGCCGCCATCACTCGGGGCTCTGTCCGCATGGCCATTAGGTTGTGTGGAGGGAGTCCCTGCTCGAGCTTGTAATAAAGTTCCTCACTGCTTTTGCATCCATCCACGGTTCCTGTGGTGTTTGGTGGGATTCTGCGATCCGGGTACAACATTTTGGGGGCTCGTCCGGGATCCCCCGGACCCTCCAGGACCTGCGCTTCAGCGGACGAACGGCCGGTAAGCAGTAGCAGCAGCTGCATCTGTATCTGTAAGGGGGCCCCGATCTGTAGCTGGATTTAAACCTAGGCGGACGCGCTGATAGTCTCCAGCAGGGAGCCGGAAGAGACGTCTTCCAGCTCCCACTCAGTAGTCCCGTATATATCTGATATACTCTGTACCTTTTGTTCTCGGAATTGCGTGCTCTGTTACTTGTTACTTCTCTGGTGTGTTGTCTTGTTTGTTCATTGTGTGACTGACTGACGAGGGGACAGGCCCAATCTGGATGCTCTCCGCTTACCTTAATAACTGGATTCAGAGTCCAGAGTACTCGGGCCAGCTTGCCTGCCAATGGACTAGACCCAGCGGCCGCAAATGGGACCCTTTTGTCCCTGGTCTCCTCCTGACGCAGACAACTGGCCAGAGTGCCCCGGCCGGTAAGGAACAAGAGACTTTATTGACCTCTCTCCCCTTCCCTCTCTCTTTCCTCTCCTTAGCTCTTCCTATCTTTCCCGTTTTTCTAGTCCCCCGGTCCTGGACACAGGAATCTGGTCGAAGGGCCTCAGCTTGAGCTTAGGATTGGAGACTGATCACCTCCTCTTGGCAGAGAACTCGAATTTTCTGGTCTGATTTCTGGTAGGGCTGAATTCCAGTCCTCCGTTTTCTGGAAGCCCAGGGAAAAGTCCTGTAATGCCTGGGTGTCTGTAGGTGGCAGGAGACGTCTGTAAGTCCACCCCTTTTGCCCCCCTTTCCCGCCTCCTCCTTCTCCTTCTTTCAACCTGGCTTCCCTTCCTCCTTTTGAAATCTTTGAAGACATCTGAAGTTTTGTGTCTCTATGGAAGGTTTTCTGAGAGACTGTATTCTTGTATTTAAGGGAGTGTCTGATGAGGACTGCAGGTTTATATGTGTGTGTTGAGATTTGTGACAGCCATTTTGCTTTGTCTGGCCACCATTTAGACCTGCCGCCATTTTGTTAGAATTTGATTTTCTTTCCCTGTGCCTTGAGACCAGGGCTCTCAGGAACACTCATCTAGACCATCTCTAACTCCTGAGACTGAGAGAAAAAGGAAAAAAGCCTTTAAAAATGTCATTTATTTAAATTTTATATTGTAATATCTAATTCATGACCAAACTTAGAAAATGAAGCTAGATCTTGCACTGTGTCTGTCTAAATATGTTTTGGTATGTCTTTGTCTCTGGGTAATATTTTTAGGTTAATTTGTAAATGAGCTCTATTTAATTGGCTTAAAAAAAGGGTAAGCACTTACAAATCAAATAACTTTAAATAACAATAAATTCCAGGTTTAGGTGAACTGGGAAATATTCAGTATTAAATACCTGATATTAATGTTTGTTTGTTGACATATCTAATATAGACATGTCTTAGAGTAATTAACATCAAATAAAATATTTTCATTGTACCTAGGTTTAATATAAGTTAAATACACCTGTTACAAGTTTGTCAACAAGGAAATTACCTCGAGTGAAAAAACTTCTAAAAAATGTAAATGAGGTATGAGTTTGTATATAAACTCTATTAAGAATAATTATTCTTTAAGAATATCTGTTTAAAATAGTCTCTCCAGATTGGTGTAACTTAAATTTCTAAGGGTTGTGCTAAACTAAGTATTGGAAGTCTATTAAATAATTAGGTCATTTCCAAATGAAATAAGATTTTGAAACATTTACTATTAAACACTGATTTCCTTTTACAGAAAAACTGAAGAGATTTGGGACTATAAATGAATAATGTTTGATGCCATCCTAAAATGTTTTAAGAAAGCAAGGGTTTTAGAAATTATCACTGGTATTTATGCTCACCAATCTATAAAATGCTAATATAAAAGTTAGCTCTTGGTTGCTAAAGGAAAGCAAGAAGTGTGCTTTCAGTAAAAAAGTATGAAAAAATACTAAAAAGAGTTATGCATGATCAGGATTTTCTAAAATTGGATTACAATTAGTTAGATAAATGGATTTTGTTAAGAATGACACGGTCATAAGAAAACTGGTTAGAGCCAATTAGGTCCAAGATGGCGGAGCTGACTCTCACTAGACCTTGAGCCTTGGTATTTGCACCCATTGTGACATATCAACAAGCTAAATGATACACCCATCAACATTGACTAAATCTGACCAAATGTTCTAAAGCTTTTAATTGATCTTTTCAATAAAACTTCCTAAATCGAATTCTTTTGAAGTTCCTTTGACATCTAGCTAACTTTGGGGTGTTTCAGAGGGCCCCTGAAATATCCCAAAGAGAGATATTAAACTGTGTTTATTTGGTTGGTTAAATTACATAAAAAAGATTATCAAATGAGTAATAAATCCGCTCATGTTATAATGTATGGAAAATTACTAATACAGATATCCTAGAAATTGTATGGAGTTCTTACCATTTTGATATGTCTTGGTATTCTAATGAAAAACCTGATGACTTCACAAAAGTTAACAAAGGACTGAATGAACCAGCGAATATGCTTATAACTTTTATGGTTTCTATCTGAGAAATTACAGGTTTAAATCGTGTGTTTTCCGGGAGTAGGGAAAACCTTCCTCTCAAACTAATTATAAAAATAATTTGGTAAAATTACACATTATAAACAAAACAATTATATTTTCTCTCTATCTGACTCCTCCAGAAATTTGAAACTCTTAGGTTTCCAGTAAGTTTATCAAATGAGCTAAGAAGGTTATCTCACTAACAGGTGCAAAAATCTCAAGGAATTTTTGAGACCTTAAAAAGAAAAGAGTTCATCTAGATTTGTTAGGCAAAATCTGTGATAAGCCTTTGGTGTGAGTTTCCCAGCCCTGTTTTATATTAAAAGTTCAGTCTGAGATCCTGTAAGTATTTCAGCAAAATAAAAAGTCTATGATCAATTATGGTTATATAAATCATCAGACCAAAATTACTGAAAACAGACCTATTTTGCAAACAAACTAGCCTTAATTTGGTTGTATTTGATAAAAATGAAGGTACTTTTAGAGAGAAAAAGATATTTCAAAAAATGTTAAATCCCATTTTGTTAATGGAGGTCTACATGTAATAAGACTCATTTCTCAGATAGTTCTTTGCTGTTATGTGATATTAATGTGAAAGTTTGTTCCTGAAGCTTATCTCAGTAATCTATCTTTGGATGAAGATCAGATGCCTCATGACCTGCAACCAGGACTAGAAAAAGACATAATTTAAGAGACTGTCTCCAACCTGGATGGAAGGACTTTTTATCAGGTACTCTTGACTAGCTCATGCACAATGAAACTGAAGAGAAATTGACTTAGATTAATTCCCACTTCCAAAGGCCCCTACACTGGATTGGTCTATAGAGAAGACAGCTGACCTGATCTCACCTTAAAATGATGTTCAAACAGGAAAAACTACACTACACCAAGATGAGAAGACAACATCAGAGGTAGACAGCTTGCCCAAGATGCTGGATTTTCTTCATATGATCATTTATAATGTTTTCTTGACTTCTTAGACCTTTGCATATAAATCAAATGCTTTTCTATCATAGGCCTGATCCTATGCTAGTTTTAGAAATCAATCCAATTGTTGGGTTTGTGACCAATTACCTGTATCTAGTTCTGGGTTACCTTGGTAAATTTCTCTACTACAAGACTCTAACTAGTTGGCCCTGAGGAAATTTACTTTAAAAAAAAAAATTATAGTCATATTCAGGTCACTGTAATACTACCAGATGGGATCCCCTCACTGGGCCAATTAATAATGCCTACTCTGACTCTGGCCATAAATTTGAGCCTTTTTCTATTCCTCAAGCTCAATCAGAGCAACAAGAAAAGTTTTAGCAAAGGAAAAAGAAATCTCCCACAATTACGAGATGGATTTATATAGATAACACCAGGCTATGGTAATTTAGGTTTAAAGTCTCCTCTTTGTTAAAAATAATTAAATCATACTAAGGATAATCAGTCTAGTAACACTAGAAAACTGGGCTGTGTGCCTTATAGATGGTGGTGCCAATGTATAATTTCCCTGAAAGATTAAGATTCGTACAGAGTACACTAAGTCAGACGACCTGGGATATACTGGGCTACATCTAATGGAAGCTCTTAGGTCTTACTTGTGACTTTACTAATACTGCTGGCTATGTTCTTTGTATTTCACCTGTTTTACAAAACTGCTGTTTCTTACACTGCCAAATGTGTGACTGAGGCCTCTGGTAGAATAATATATAGTTCCCTATGAGATTGATGATGATGACAGTGTAGCTCTAGATATGAGAAAAAGCAACAAGAGGGAATGTTTTCCTGGACCAAGAGGCTAGTAAGGCAGGTGGTCCAGAGAATTTTAGATACTGTTTTATGGCCTAGTCCAGTAACAGCACATTGAGTGGCTAGTCAACAAAATCTTTGCCAAACCTGAGAATGGACATTCTCAGCACCATGGGATAAAATGGTCATGATATGCCCCCCTCGAAGTCATGGTCAAGTTTAAGACTAAAAGTTGACAGAGCAAAAAGGGG